CTCAGAACAACAATTTCGGGTTCCTTGGTGCGCTAGTTAGCCCCTATAAGCAATTTGACATGATTAAGTAGTCGGTTTGATTACAATCGAACTAAGTGTTCGACCTGATGAAAGATAAAGCGCCTAAGAATTGGCTCATCACGGAGACACCGACATACTGGTTTTAGCGGAAGCAAAGTTCAGGCGAGCTTTAGAGATCGACAAACGTTGGTATTCGGAAATTTTTCTTCGGAATATTATCGCAACCAACATATCCATCAAAGATCTTTGCTCCAGAGACGCGTGGGCATATTATTCAAGCTCTTTTATTCAGAGACGCGTGAACATTTCCATCAAGCTCTTTTGCTCCAGAGATGCGTGGGCATATCATTCAAAAGCTCTTTTGTTCGGAGACGCATGTACATATCATCGAAGATCTCCTATTTTCAAGCTCTTTTGCTCAGAGACGCGTGGGCATCCTATTATGAAGCTCTTCGTTCAAAGACACGTGGACACATCATTCAGAAGATCATATCATCAAAAGCTCTATTGTTCAGAGACGCGTGGACATATCATCAAGCTCTTTTGCTCCAGAGACGCGTGGGCTTATCATTCAAAGAAGATCTTTGTTCAGAGATGCGTGAACATATAAAAAAGAAGCTCTTTGTTAAGAGACGAGTGAACATCAAAACAGAAAGGTGGCGTTCCCTAGATTGTGGAGAGTTGTCACAAACAACTGAGGATTGTTTCAAGAGAAGAAATATTCGATAGTATTCCCTTGGACGTGGAATATTATCAATGCAGATGAGGATTGTTTCAAGAGAAGTAATCTTCGATAGTATTCCCTTGGACGTGGAATATTATCAATGCGGATGAGGATTGTTTCAAGAGAAGCAATCTTCGATAGTATTCCCTTGGACGTGGAATATTATCAATGCGGATGAGGATTGTTTCAAGAGAAGCAATCTTCGATAGTATTCCCTTGGACGTGGAATATTATCAAAACGGAGGAGGATCGTTTCATTCAAAGCAATCTTCTATATTGGAAGCAGTTACAGGCGTAGCGGTTTTCAAACGGGATGGCATTCTCTAGCTTGTAGGAGGTCATCAAAACAATAGGGTTACTTTCAGAGACGTGTGCTCGACGGTGCAAGATACGCGTTTCTTAACTCTTTTATCTGTTTAACTAATGCTAGTTTTTCAAGTACCGGCGTTACAAGAGTGGTTTAGGATCGCAGAACGTTCTAAATCATTCTCCGTCCCTATTGATACTTTGACTTTTGTTTTCGAAACTTGCGTTTCTCCAAACTCAGTCAAAGTGGGGGCTTCTGTAGACACCCATTTGTGTCTCCCCAAAACCAAACCCGGTTATGAGTACCTTTCACATCGAATCATAATCGAATGAAGTGAAAGTGTGGAAAGTTTAGTGTTGCGAAAAGTTTTAATTTCTTTTCTCTTCTCTTTGTTTTTAAAAACTTATTTTTAAGAAAACAGCCAATTCAGTTTGGTTGGTCCATGATATGGGTCCAATAATAGTGTAGTTGGATGGGGCTTGACAAGAGCTTTCCAACGATATATTATAAGCCCAATTCCGATGAATATTGAGGAAGTTACGACCAATTTACTAAACTGGGCCTGGTTTGAGCCTTATATGCGGCCCAATGATCTAGAGAAGGGCCTAATATGATTTATCATTCCTAATGCAATTAGAAATGGTTTTAGTCTTCTAGATTCTTCTAGAAGATTCTTTTCATTCCTAATTCAATTAGCTTTGATAAATTGACTTTTGTTGACTTTTCAGAGTTTTAATTAAAATCAAAGAGCATTTTTGAGGAAAATACGATTTTATCCCCTTGTATGGCAATTTTTATCTGATTTTAAGAAAACGCGTAATTTTCCAGATCAGCGCCAAACGCCAGCTGTAGCGCCTGGCGCTACGCTTGGCGCCTGGCGCCAACAGCCAGCGTTGGCGCTAATCTGTTTTCAGGTGCGCCAGACTCTGTTTTGATATTTTATCTTTTTGGCTGATTTTCTCTATAAATAACGTATTAAAAACTCCGTTTTCATACACCTACAACCAGTTTTCATTCGCAATCATGAATTATTATTCTTTCTAATTCTAAACCAACTCTCATCAAGATTCTCTTGATTACTCTCTCTCTCTCTTTTCTAAACTAGATTTTTACATACAAAATTCCGCTTTCATTAGATCTAGACACACCTAGCCATATGCGAAGTTTCTTTCGCCCTAGACGTGAAAGGTTTTAATTTCTGAGGGTTTGGTCCCAAATCTCTCTTTCCATTATTTAATTTAATTGTTTGTTTTATTATTTTCCTTGAAGTTACTAACGTGTGTATTTTGTTATTAGAAAGAGGTACAAGGCATCAAAGTAAGTACTTTAATGGTTTTATTGATGTTGTAATGTAGAAATCATGTTTAGATTGTTATTTTGATTCCTAGTATCATGTCTAGGGTAATTTTAATATCAAGTATGATTAGTATGATGCTTTTATGTTTTTCCTAATATTTATGATTGTTAGTATCATGTTAGGGTTAAAGCTTTGATTTTTATTGTTTAGTGACGTGCTAGAGTTTGTTATTAATCTTGTTAGTATCATGCCTAGGATCTTGCTATGCTTTAACATGATTATTATTATGATTATATGATTGTTATTATGATGATTATTATTTTGATTATTATTATGATTATTTTAATTATAATTTATGATTATTATTATGATAATTATTTATGATTATTTATTATGTTGCTTGATGCTTATTTATTTATTATTGCTTGATCACGCCTTTTATGCATGTTTAAAGGGAATTTGGTACTTGTAATCGCGCTTAATAAGATAATTAATAATCTTGTTTAGAGTTAATATGATTATAATTCAAGTGATCTCCAATAATAGTTTTGTTTGTGCATTAAATTCAACCAACATAGATAAACAGGTTTAAGGTTAATCCTAATGATTGTATGTTAGTCAAAAAGCGCACATGAATACGATCAGAATAAAGTAGAGGCCTATTATTAGGTCAGGTTCAATCTCTTTTAGGTTGGATTGGTACCTTCATCCCCGAACCCTTATTTGGTTCAAGACCTTATAGAGTTGACGATCTCTTGAATCGTTAAGGGGTGTAACCTTCACCCTGTGAACGGTTTACAAGTTCCTAAAACTTGTTGCCGACTCTTTTGCTCTATCTTCTTCCCTTTTGGACGCCACCGTACTTTAGTGTATGCTCACAGTGGGGTTCAAGTAAGGGGATTAACGCTTGAAAATATTCCCTACAATATCAAATCCTTTTTCTGTGTGCGTGGCTTTTTTTTTTTTTTTTTGGTTGAGTTTTCTCGTTGTAATGTACTGCTAAGATAGTTAATTTGATGTGGAAAACAAAACCTAGTCTTTTTATAGTACATTTGAACTTTAAAAAAATTCAAAGGAAGAAGCAAGAATTCAAACTTACTGTTTTCTATAACAGTGTTTTGCTGTATTTTTTTGCATAAAATCAGTAAGCTTAACTCCTGAAATAGGTTATTCTGTATTCTATAGATATGTAGCATGTACTTGAACAAAACTTTAATATAAATTTCCAAATCTATTTGTGTATCTTTTGCCATATATATATAATTTTAGCTAAACTAAATCTCATGATTTGTAAGAATTATATTATATCATGTATATACTCCATCACTTACATACTGTTCCTGTCACATGTATCCAAAGTAAAGAATTAGATCTCATTGCTTGTACATGTTCAATTTTTTTTTTTTTTTTTGCTTGTATGTATATTTTTTGGACCATACCTTTTTCCTGAAATTCTTCCATGTTACTTGACTTACTTGTACTTATTAGATTTGCTATCTGTGGTCTTTTAACATTCCCCATTTTTTCCACCACCACATGTACTCTGATTAGATAAATTGCCTACTGTTTTTTTAAATACAATCAAACCCCAAAAATTCTTTCCTTCTACTTATTGGATTTCCTATCTACATGTCTTTTTATTTTTTCTCTTTTGTCTGTTTTTCCTTTTGTTTTTTGTTTTTTTTTTACTTGGGAGTACTTGGTGTATTGAAATAATTATTTGTTAAACCGTATTTGTTTGTGACACGCGAATGATTGTTTGATGTTTTATTGTCCAAAGAACACGAGCACCGTATGAAAAGTGCTATCAAATCCATATATGTGCATCTAATCATAGCTTCAAATCATCACAGTAGATTCTTTCTTCACCATAGATACAAGTCAGCAACTAATCAGAGCTACTATTGGTCTGGTAACCATACATATAGATACTAAATTGAAAGATAGAATAATTAGGTGTCTTGTAATGCCATGATCAACCAAATGTTCCTGGACCACTGTATAGCAATCACCAAAGGCATCACAAGAAATATTAGTATGCTACAGAGGCTGACCTTAAAGCAGAATATTAGTTCTAGAAAAAGGTCCTTGACTTACTAACAACATACCTTTGGAGAATATGCCATCCTTTAGAATGAATACCTTAAATTATAGAAAAAGGCTAACCTGTAGCAAAATACACAATGAAAGAAAATTAGGTGGAGTAGGCTTTTTATCTGAATACTTTATTGTTAAAGGCTGTAAAAATTAGCAGTAGCCTATAATTTGTAAGAACAGAAAGGTATCACTTACTGATGCACTCAAATGATGCCAGCCATATGTAAAATATCATAAGACACAACATTTTTGACATGGAAAAAACTGGCCTGATCAGCATTTCTGTCAGTTATAACACTGAAATTAGTTGCTTGTCGAGCTCGGGAAAGGGCAACATACAGCTAACCATGTGAGAAGCATGATCTTGGTAGGTAAACAACAACTTTGTTAAGTGTTTGCACTTGAGCTTTGTTGATGGTCATCGCAAGGCTAAGCTTTAAAGGGAATTGTTTCCTTTGAAATTGAAAAGGATAACCTGAAGACTCTGATGGCTTAGATTAATCCTTGGTATCAATACATGTTCTCCTTTATGATGCCCAACAGCAATAACACATTCAATGAGATTTGGGAATTTTTTTTTTACATATTAGGCGCGTTCCATTGCAAAGTCCAGATGATGGTAAGATGTTACGTAGCAGGCTAACAAGACTATTGGGTTTCAATATGAGTTCATGAGGGCTCATGCCACCAGGACAGAGCTTATTCAGAAATTCAGTAGGATAGATGTTACAATCATCATTGATCATTGAATCATAACTCTTGTACGCCACTGCTTCACTTGGAAATTTGTCTATCAAAACTGCATTTATAACATCCACATCATCATTGATTGGTGTGAGTATAACTCTAGTTGTAAATATGTTGGCACTAAATGGAGGCATATCCATTTCTGGAAATGCAACCAAAGTCAAATGCATATCTTGAGGTGTAGCAGCATCATAAGGTTGTACAATTTCTGCTGGCAGCTGCACAAATGCATCTTCTGTATCGTGCAACTGTCCGTTCCCAAGTGCCAGTAAAAAGGCTGCATATGCTGGGTCAAGTCTAGCTCGACTATTTTCTGTTAATCTAAATTTAATCAACAGCGGCCATAGAGAAGAACTGACCAAGCTAGCAACAACTGCTTCATGTTGTGTTCTCTTTGGAACGACAAGAAGAATTTGTCTGAAATCTCCTCCAAATACAACAATTTTACCTCCAAATAATAAATTGGGATTACAAATATCTCTGAGTAACACATCAAGTGACTCATTGTTTTCCTTTTTTGCCATCGAAGCTTCATCCCAAATGATAAGTGTTGTTTCTCTAAGCAATGCTGCTAGACTTCCTTGTTTAGGTACATTACAGGCAAGTGATTCAAGAGGATCTAGTGGAATCTTAAACCGTGAGTGTGCAGTTCTTCTAGAAGGAATATTAGCTGCAGCTATACCGGATGTTGCTGTTGGCAAGATAATTTTATTCATCAGCCTTATTTCTGCATATAAAGCATTATATAAAAAAAAGTCTTTCCTGTTCCACCAGGACCATCTATAAAAAATGCCCCATGTATTTTCTTTGTAACATGATCCATTATGGTATTAAAAGCCTCTCGTTGAGCCTAATTCAATTGGTTCTTGCATTGTAGACACTGATCTGGTATTGGAGCATTCAATGCATCTTCTATATCCTTTATTCTGCGTATTTCATCATCATCAGGCTGAACTAAATGGTCTAGTCCATATGCAGCAAGAGAGCTTCCCATTGATTCCAAAAACCATTCAACTGACTTAACAGTGAGATTCTTCACTTTTAGTGGATCAGAAGTATACCTGTGTCTAAAATCTTCAGACAAAAAAGTATAATATTTCATCCAAAGAGAGAGAGGATCGTTGGGTTGGCAAAAGATAAGCACAATAGCAAAGAGCTTACGAACTGCAAGTGGCATTAGAACTGCACAACCTTCTCTCAAACATAAATCAATTGAATCATCTTCTTCTAATAGTCTTAATTGTAGTGCAGCTTGATGAAATGTGTCACATAAATTTCCATCAACTGTTCGCAAATCTTCAAATGACTTAGGACTTCTTACATTGTACAACAATAGTCTGAGATAGTATCTTTCTCCTTCTGAAGGTCCAAAAAATGCCAATCTACCAATGACAATTTTCTTATTTCGTCGTTCATACCAATGTTTGTCAGATGCATCCCAACGACAGTGCTCTGAAAACGTAGTGTACAAGCAACCGGTTCGAGATGGTAATGTACAATTCATACGAAAAAACTCTGTAAGACAAGTCCTAGAACGCTTGTCATCTGAAACCACTGATGTAAGCCGTTCATGAGGCCTAAGCTGTATAATCTGTGAATTGGGAAAATGCACAGGAAGAGGCAAAACTGGTGGGTGCATTTCGTATAAGTCAAAGCCAAAGAGGCGCCAAGCAGCTTCACAAGGAGAAACCCATCGACCTGATTGATACTGTTGTATTTCATCTTGGACAGTCATAACATCTGTAGATTGAACAACACTAAAAGATATCTTGTCATGACCTTTATACACATATTTGTACAAATATTTGACGGCTTCTATAGTAGAGCACACTTTAACATTTAAGTGACAATCAAAGTATGATGAAAGGTATGGATTTTATGGGATCACCCATTTATTATCCATGATTGCTTTGCGGATTGTAACATTCTCTCCTGTGTCTCTTCTTCTATATAATGGATATCCATCACTGCTATTTCTTGTTTCCTCACAATGCTGCTTTGGATAACTATACTTACAATGACCACGCCTTTCTTTGTGCTTCATGCAAGGACATTCTGGATCCAAATGACCACATGGACCATGCATCATATATTACAATCATATTTTTCTAAGATGCATGTTATCAGTGGATGGTATTTCAGCACAAACAAACTTATCAAAATCAGCATGGCATTTGATTTTATAGTCTTGCTTTAGAATGATTAGAAAATGGGCATGAGGTAATCCTCTTTTTTGAAATTCAATCACATAGATCATTGTTGCTACCTCCCCGAACACCTTTTTCTTTTTCATCAAATGCTTTAAAGAAAGAACCTTTTCCCTTAAAATTCTTGCAAATATGTCTGGCCTGTCCTGTGCTTTTTCTCCAACAGCTAGCTCTTGTTTAATTTCAGGCCAATTAGCATTGCAAGTCATTGTAACGAATAAATCAGGCTTACCAAATCGCTGCACCAAAGACATTGCATTTAAGTATCTCTTTTTAACATCTCGAGGACCACCAATGAATGTTGGAGGCAAGATGACCCTAAGACCCACGTTTGCTGCACAGTTTTCACCACAATCAATAGTGTCAAGGATCCCTTGATATAGATCTGCTCTTATCGTTTGTTGATTTCTACAGAAGAAATCTAACTGAGTATTCTCCACTTTGACATACATATCGACTATGTACTGCTGGAAGCATCTTCCTGCTCTTAGCAACATGTTATTTGGTCTGCATTGCAGTTTGTATGCATAGTATTCTCTTGCTGAAATGTTTCTATCAGTTTTCGATAAGCCTCCACTTGCACCTACAAATGCAAAGTTTATTAAATTTGTTTTCTAACTTTACAAGCCAGCAAAAATAGGCTACATTACACTAACTAAAATCTCATGTGTAAATATCATAAATCATGTAATCCTTCCCTTTTTGAAAGTATTATTTGTTTTTTTCTTTTGGTTTTTACAATATACTTTTTATCTGTATAGCTTTTTTGCATAATTGTAGACACCCATTTGTGTCTCCCCAAAACCAAACCCAGTGATGAGTACCTTTCACGTCGAATCATAATAGAATGAAACGAAAGTGTGGAAAGGTCTAGTGGTGCGGAAAGTTTTAGTTTCTTTTCTCTTCTCTCTGTTTTTAAAACTTTATTTTAAGAAAACAGCCAATTCAGTTTGGTTGGTCCATGATATGGGTCCAATAGTATAGTAGTTGGATGGGGCTTGCAAAGACCTTTCCAATGATATATTATAAGCCCAATTCCGATGAATATTGAGGAAGTTATGGCCCAATAATCTAAGGGAGGGCCTAATATGATTTATCATTCCTAATGCAATTAGGAATGGTTTTAGTCTTCTAGAAGGTTCTTTTCATTCCTAATTCAATTAGCATTGATAAGTTGACTTTGTTGACTTTTCAGAGTTTTAATTAAAATCAAATAGCATTTTCGAAGGAATTATATTATTTTATCCTCCAGTAAGGTAAATTTATCGGATTTTTGAAAACGCGTTAAAATCAAGACTGGCGTCCAACCCAAGGCCTTGGCGCCTGGAACCAGGCTTGGCGCCAGACGCTAGCCATTAGCGCCTGGCGCTAGCCGTTGGTGCCTGGCGCCAGCTAGTCAGGGTTGGCGCCAACCTTGTTTTGCGTGCGTCAGACTCTGTTTTGTTAAATTATCTTTTTTGGCTGATTTTCTCTATATATATCGTATCAAAAACTCCGTTTTCATAGACGAATTCGTCATCTACATTCACCTACAACCAATTCTCCTCATTCACAAGTTTTAATTGGCATTCTCTCTTTAATTCTTTCAATTATTTCTTACTTTGTTTTCATACAAAATTCCACATTCTCAAGATCTAGAAACACCTAGCCATATTCGAAGTTGCCTTTGCCCTAGACGTGAAAGGTTTTAATTTCTGAGGGTTTGGTCCCAAATCTCTATTTCAATTATTTAATTTAATTGCTTTGATTATTATTTTCCTTGAAGTTACTAACGTGTGTATTTTGTTATTAGAAAGAGGTACGAGGCATCAAAGTAAGTATTTTATTGATTTATTGATATTATGATGTAGAAATCATGTTTAGATTGTTATTATGATATTCCTAGTATCATGTCTAGGGTAATTTTAACATTTAATATGATTGTTGTGATGCTTCCTATATTCTTCCTAATATTTATGATTGTTAGTATCATGTTAGGGTTAAAGCTATGATTTTTATTGCTTAGTGACATGCTAGGGTTTGTTATTAATCTTGTTAGTATCATGCCTAGGATCTTGCTATGTTTATTATGCTTTAATATTAACATGAACATGATTCTGATTATAATTATTGTTATGGTTATTTATTATGTCGCTTGATTTATTCTTCATTGCTTGATCACCTTCATTGCCTGTTTAAAGGGAATTTTGTACTTGTAATCATGCTTAATAAGATAATTAATAATCTTGTTAGGGTGAATATGATTATAATTCAAGTGATCGCCAATAATAGATTTGTTTGTGCATTAATATTCAACCAACATAGATTAAACAGGTTTAGGGTTAATCCTATTGATTGCATGTTAATCGAAAAGCGCACATGAATACGATCAGAATAAAGTAGAGGCCTATTATTAGGGCAGATTCAATCTTTTTTAGGTTGGATTTGTACCTTCATCCCTGAACCCTTATTTGGTTCTAGACCTTATGGAGTTGACGATCTCTTGGATCGTTAAGGGGTGTAACCTTCATCCTATGAACGATTTACTTTAGTGTATGATCATAGTGGGGTTCAAGCTAGTGGGATTTAAAGGCTTGAAATTATTCCCTACAGTTTTTGGCGACTCCACTGGGAAGGATTTCTATTTTAATTCTTGAATTTGTTTCGGCAATGATTTAGAATGAGTGGATGAGACTCGAAAAGTTCTAAGTATTTCATGTGCGTAATTTTGATTAACATTATTGTCATATGCATAAAAAGGATCTCATTGGAAAGACCATCCGTAATGAGTCAAATGCATAGGATTTTACACGTAGGAAATTTGAGAAATATCTTTCACAACTAGGAAAGAAATAACACCGCGCGAAACTGGACGATTTTATCGAGCACAGAAAGCTGCTGAGGCATGTGGGAAGTAGCGTCAGGGGCCAGAGCTTGGCGCCAGACATTTAGCCGTAGCGCCAGACGCCAGCATTGGCGCCAGGCGCTACAGTTAAAATCTGGCGCCAGTCTCTGTTTGCTGGCGCCGATTTCCCCCAATACCGAGCCAGAAATATGCGTTCTAATTTCGACCGGTTTTTCGTATTGTTTGCTCGAATCCTACTTCCTGATTGAATTTTTTCTCATTTTTCTGAAACCCATATGTGTTCTACATATGGACATAACCCTCTGGGAATTCATGCTCCATCTATCCGATTGAACGCTCCGTGCAACAAAGGGTACATCCGAGATGTTGAATTCACCAAACCATGGAAGCGAGTTTTTCTAAAACTCACGGTGTCCCATCCACTCGCACCAACCCTTCACGGTTAGGCTTCCGCACGGTGCAACTGAACAATTAACCATGGGCCCTCTTTGACTAAACCATATCCCAAACTTTAGAGAACTAGAGCCATGGTTAGGTTGCGAACTCATTGCATCATATTGTGCCTACTTAACTAATTGTGCATTATTTGTTGTGCATATATATTCTATGTTTCTCTTAACAGTTTGTTGATTTGTGTTGAGAATAAATAAATTAATGACTTAAA